CCAGATATCCTGACATGTTTTATTGAAAAATATATGTATTTTTTTTGAACATACTGTCAACATAAAGAAATACATATTTGTCTTGTGCACTATTTATATACATATATAATGCAAGTGATAGATCTTTTCCATTGCCATAATTTTCAACTGTATCCCATTTGATTTACCTACATTGCATTTTTATAAATAAGCTTCTAGCCTCTTGTTAATTTTATCCAACAGTGATACAAGAACTGCTCATTTTTTTACAGTGAAATTTTCTCTTTCCTCCTTGCTAAATAATCAGGATTCCTCCATGACATGTCTGTACTCTGCCATGTTTCCAACCTTTCTTCAGGAAAATCTACAGGCTGAAACATGCCTACCTAAAGCCCAAATGTGTTGCTTCATGCCACCTAACTACATGTCACAGTAATGAGCTCATTTTCAAAACCTCATATTATATAGATAATATGTTCATAGGCAAATTGCTTCCATGCAAGTAAAAGCAGCGATAGTTACACATACTGATTAGCAGGATGGAGATGGTTTCCTTTCAATCAGGTCTCAAGATTTTAAAGGGTGCTGCCATCACTGACAGGCTTTTTCATAACCTGTTTCTCAAGTGTAAAAATGTGTGGAAAAGAAATAACCGGTCATAAAGTGATCCGCTGCAAGCATGAAACGAAGAAGTTTGATAAAACCATTCAGTGACAGCATGCAAATCAGAAGTGTGACCAAATTTACCTAGGCAATTTGAACTGTTAATGAAGAGTTAGTTTTAATTATTTTTAAGTGAGGAGCTTTATTTGCTTTATAAACGCTTAACAAGCAGAGGGTGTGAAATCAGTTGTAGGAGCTTTCAGTTAGTTTTTTATAGCAACAGATCACCCTGCTGTAAAAAAGGACACTTTGCTAATGGCAGTGATGGAATGAGATTTTCAGAACTACATTAATGGTACCAAAAAGCAAAGTAGGACTTTTCTCAGGCTCTATTATTGTTTATATGCCTTGGATAACAAGCAGACTGAGAACAGGTTAAGGAATGCAAAGCCACCAGCAGCGACCAAAGCACTGGTCTGAACTGTATCCGTTCAAATGACACAAAGACTGTTATTTTTGAGCCAGACATTTAGGGTGATGGTGCAGTCCTACTGGGTTATTTCTCAGCTTAATAAGGAACAAATAATAGAAGTGCCTCACAACTATGAAGACAACTAGCTTGACCTATGAACATTTAAGAGACATGCAGGTGAGATGTTCAATTACACCAACACATTTTGCAGACATGGAAATCTATCTATATGGGACAATTAGGACAACTAGCTTGACCCAACGCCTATGAACATTTAAGAGACACGCAGGTGAGATGTTCAATTACATCAACACATTTTGCAGATATGGAAATCTATCTATATGGGACAATTAAACCATGAGACAACCTAAAAGTAGTCCTCACCTTGCCTTTACAGAGCTAACATGAAGTTCGGCAGGATGAGAGCCCCAAGAGACCATTCACTGTCACTAATACAAGATTGATTGCCTAAATCTGAATGAGTTCTTGGTGTTTTAGGTTCAATTTGGATATAAATGTTAAGATAAAACAAGAGTTTCTGAAACATTATATTCCCTCTTTCTTCTTTTTCACTGCTGACCGGCCACAGCTATTCCTCACCCGAAAGGAGGAGAAAGTTTATCTTCAAAAATGAATAACCTGTTTGCAAACCACTTACTCGGATGAGGGCAAATGTTCCAACTCTGCTGGATTCAGAAAATACTAGGGATCTGGAACCCCAAATTGCCTAGATTGTTGGCTATTTTAGATTATGGGTAGGTATCTCACTGATTTGACTAGAATAACCATCCTAAGCTCTACCCCCACACATACACACACAATTTCCCCCAAATCCCTGTATCTGTTTTGACACATCTAAAATTTTCAATATTAAATGAATAAATGATCTGCTATTATCCGAAATTTCCAACTAGATTGACTTATTCAAATCTTGAAAGAAAACCAAAGAAAATATTTTTCAGACCGTGTTCTTACTACTGAATTTCTTTTGCTCACAGTAAATAGGGGCTCTAGGCTACTCGCTTATCTCACCAACCCAGAAACAATTCAATAATATTCCCACAGTCTGCCTAAGCCCTTGCTTTGGAGCATCACTTAGTAGCTTCATCAACAGGCTGTCGCAAGCCTCAAAATCAAACATTCATTTAAATCTACTGGTTTACTGTGACCCTGTGAGTTCCTATCAGAGCTCCTGAATGTTCCTCATCAGACCTCTTTTAGGGAGAAACTGAATTACTACACACTTTTCCAAAACAGTCTGTTCACTGGCCCTAACAGCATCCTAATATCCTCTTGTATTTTGTAAAAGCATTCGCTTAAAACTAAAATACATGGTCATTCTCTGACCTCCCAGCAGGCTCCCTGCAAAGTCACAGGGGCAAACACACCACAAGCACCTACCTGTTTCCATTGGCAGACAGGATTTCTTTAGCATAGTTCCATATGCATGAGAAAAAAAGTTATTAATGGCTAATTTCAATGTACTGGCTTTTGGGCTTTTGCAGCCTCACCCCGCCCTCCCATGACACTGTTTCATTTTCTCATCTGAAACCATCTCCTTCCCAAACGCGCAAGTGATTAGGTCAGCTTCACTCTGGCAATTAATCACCCCGACATTAATATTTGGGTGGAATTTCACATGCCTGTCCATTTTTGAACAATTTAACTAATTTCATAAAAAGCAGCTCATAAATCAATCAGCCGAATACGCCTGCTTAAAGGGGGTCAGGTCATTAATGTAGCTTGGGTTGCTTTTGCTATCAAACAAAATCCAAGCTCCTCTGAAGACACAGCCACCGAGCTGCTGCAAATAATCTTTGCCAGGTCCTGGCTGCTAGGCAGGTTCCTTTATTTTAAAATAGGTTATCAATTCTTTAGTAAAAATAAAATGAATGGGAAGTTTTAGTTAACTTCAAGTTTTGAAGCACACGTATTGTAAAACCTGCGAAGTTCTAGAAAATCCCTATCAAGGGCCCTATTAACATTTTCTTTAATCCCTTGAGTACATATAAATGAAGAGCAGGAAATAAATGACTGATTCACAACAGCCCTTCCAGTGCAGCTGGAAGGAATCAGATTTCATCTTTTTATCCTTGCCACATCATTGCTTATATACTTGGCTGTATGACGAATTGGAAACAACTTGTAGTTTTTCACAGAGATCTGTTGCCATTTTTTTTTGCCATTTCCTCTGAATTTTTTTCTTTTGGTGATCAATATTACACAGAAGGCAGATAAAAAAAATCAAAAACTTTCTTTGAGAAAACCTAAGGATCCTTTTAGTAATTCATCTTTCAGTGCATCAAGGAAATCAGGGAAAAATCCTGCTGCTTTCCTGACACCATGATATATCTTTACTGAAAAACAATGGGCTGGATTCAAACACTGACTAATCATGTTGAGGGCTCTCCTTCCACGGGACTTTTCAGCTACATTTGCACAACAGGATGCCAGGGAACATGCTGAGCAGAGTGTTATGTAACAGGTTAGAAAGCATGCCAGCCTATTAGGATATATATTCACAATGCTCTGATTAATCTACTACAGTGCACTATTTGTTTATAATTTGCAATGCTTCAAAAAGGCTCCTCTAGGAAAATGGGGGGGTTTTTGGTCTTAATTTAAGTGTAAGCTTTGCCAGATCAGAAAAGAGGGTCATTTGGGGTTTTCTGCATTAGTCTGAAAAGGCTACTGTGATTGCTGGGAGAAAAAAAAAATGCTAAAGTTTATAGTGAATACATAAAAGCGGAAAGCTAGCAAAATAGAATAAGAAACAGCTGGAAAAAAAGAAGATGAGTAACAGTGTCAGAAGGAGAACATGAAATTTCTATTTTTAAGAGGGACAGAATTTTCTATCTTAAGTCCTATATGAGCGGTTCGCATATATTTCACTGCAGTCCCACATGAGAAATAGATGTCTAAGTGTCAAAAACCAACACATGCTAAATTTTGGCAGTGCACGCTGAGCAAGCACGACTAGTCTTTCCAAATGGCAAACTCTCTCAGGTAAGGTGAGAAACTCAAGGTGCTGAAAGCTCAAGTATTGATTATTACACACTGGGAAGGACAAATAGGAGCTGGAGGAGAAGGGTCAGAGCCACCTCCGGAGGCAACATCCAGGCTGGGCTGGAGCTCGAGAGCTCCCTGCCGGGTGAGGACACAGGGATGAGTCTTGCTGTGCTCCAAAAGAAGAGGCCACATTTGGTATTTCGAATCCAACCACTACCATACGTCAAAACGGCCAGACACAGTTATCTGACTGCTTATACCCAAAGCTGGATAGAAAATATCAATTGACACATCCTGTATTTATACTTTGTATTTTAAGAAACTGTGCTGCAGTTATACTAAGATTTCCAAGATCATTTTTTAGATTTTCAGGGAGAAAAGCACAGCATTCATCAAACAGAGAAGTTACAATCTTTATAGACTACCTCCACGTGACAGCTGTATCTGCTACATCCTCATGTTAACCGAACAATCTGCAGCTCTATTAAAAGATATCCCTACTCCAAAATGGAGTTGGACAGTATATTCCATTGAAAACGTGATAATAAAAAAGAAAATGATAATCACATTACTACCTTTGTAGCACTTCCCTCGCTCCAAAAGATCTCCTTTTGTCCAAGCATAACTTTGCATTCACAAATTCACAAAATACACATGCAGTTTTCAGACAGTCATCTTACTACAGATACATGGCAGAAAATGCATGCAGAAAGCAGGGTAGAGGTGGACTTCACATATAAATGCATTCAGAATTTCCATATATAAATATATTCAGAATTTCCAAAGGACAAACAGCTCTTCTGAAAACTTTTATAGGAGAGTAGTTCAGAACTGAGCCTTGAATAAATCACATCCATGGGCCTTCCAGAAGCCCATACATTGTCCAAAAACACTTTATTAAGGTAGAGACCAAGTTCCTATGGCCACGAGCACTCACCTCGTAATTGGCAATGGCTTCTCTGTCGAGAGCTCGGGTTACGGAGACGTCCCCGCTGATCTCATTGATCCGAAAAATCCCTTTGGGGTCCTGGTCTACCCCCTTGCCCGAGAGCCGGAACTTCGCTCCCTCGGTCCTCTCGCTTCTGATGACCTGCCAGGCCCCAAGCAAAACGGGACAGCCAACATTAGCAAAAAACATCAAAATCAAGCCAACAGGTAGCGTTTTAATTATTTCCCTGATGCTGAGGTATATTCCCCTCCCATAATATGAAACGATGAGAGGTGCTTTTGGTCATTCTGAAAACACTCGGCAATTTTTGTATTAAATCCTGCAAATGCTGAAGGACCAAGTCATGTCCTTAGCCAGTTTCTGTCTTATCTTGGCTGTCTTTCATTTCAAGGTTTAAAGTTTCCATTATTGGATTGTTACTGTATCTGCTCCATGTCTAAAATTCGACATTTTATTTAATTCTATTTCTTCTTCTTTTTTTTCCAGTTAAATTGATAAAATGGCTAGAAATAAATGCTACATTTTTTTTTTAAAAAAAAAAAAGGGCGTGTAGGGGGGAAAAGTTAAAAAATAAACAGGCTTTCAAGTGAATGGCATTAAACACACTTATTTCATAACCACCTTAAACCACCTCTGTTTATATCAGATACCCATCACGCAGTATTTTCCAACTAGTCGGTCGTTTTCATTACTCATTTTAAAACCATTTCAGAGAGCACTTTTGGGTGTGTTGCTCTCCATTCCATTCTATACCCTTCTTTCCCAGGGTTTTAAAGCAAGGGAAAAAACTCCTCCTAAAAATATGTCGGTATCGTGCCCAGAACTCAGCTTAGTCACACAGTTGGACTTCCTCCACTTTCCATGCGTGTGTGCGCAGGGAAATTCTTCCTCACCACCGCAACTTGTTCCCCCATATGAACATAAAGTAAAGAAAATATCCCTAAAAATCCAATTTCAAGGCTGCCTCATGTTAATGACAGTAGCATCTGTAAACTTCCAGAGCTGCACAATGTTTGCTACGAGCTACATGCCTTGCAATTTGTATTTGTACCCCCGAATCTTGCAGGATTATAAATTAATCTTGCCCTTTAAGGCTGACAACCTTGCCAAGCCATTCCTTCCCACTGCTGTTTCATGTTCTTTTGTTCCTATCAATTTTATATTGTTAATGTTTCCGCAGAAACATTAAGTCAAATATTTATATGCTGCTCTGAATCACAGCTCAGGAAGAGGAAGGAAAAAAGTGGTATTAGAAATCTGGACCTGCTCCCATTCTGCGATAATAAATATGCAGAGAGTTTAATAATGTCCCCGAGGAAATATGTTTGCTGCCCTATTGCTGTGGGTTCAGCAAAGCTGGTTTGCAGATTACTGGGCAGTGAGATTTTGACTAAACCCCATAATCATTATTCCTTTATTTTAATTGAGAAAAATTGCCACAAGATATGAAACAAGAAATCAGCATTTTCAGAGATAAAGTTTCAATTCCCAAACCCTTGGGGCAAGGAAGAAATTTCAAAGTAAAAAACTATTTCACCTTTTTTTTTTTTTTTTTTTTCCCTCTCCTCCTACTCAGGAAAACTAATGGATGTGGTTTTCCCCTCACATATTTTTGAGGATGTCATAACAAAACAGAGAAGCCAACAACACTGGAGGAGGAAAGGGACACACTAACTTTGTGACTTCAGGGCTTTGTGATGAAGCTGAAACTTCCAGGCTGCTCCTGGAAAGCTCCCTGATATTCTATTCGGTTTTGGACCAGTCTCTGGTATTTTTATGTCAAGCCTAAATTTTTTTTTTTCTTAACATAAGGCTTCATTTACCATTTTACACTGCCATGACTATTGCTCACTTTTGCAGGAAAAAAGACCTATTGCTTTTCCTCTGCCCTGATTTCTGAGGTTTATTACAAGGTAAGTGCACCTTCCCATCTAATACAAGAGCAGTGGTTTGAAAGGCAACTATCTCAGCTACACGCCTGCACAAAAATAACTGAGAGAGGTCTACAGAACAGCCCTTTCCACCATGACAGATAAATATTTTCCAAAAACTTACGGCAAATTAAGACTCAGTAAAGGCTAAAAGTCCTAATTATATAACTAAAAAAAAAAAAAAAAGGTAGAAATCGTGGGCTGTATCAATATTCTGCAGTAGTTCATCAGACAAATCTCAGATCATTATAAGCAGGTCATACTTCATACCAGATAGAAAAGCGGGATACAGACTACAGGACTAATGGGTTTAACCAGAAAGCAGTGTTTTTCTGAATGCCTGGATGGCCCGTGTTCCTCTCTGCTTAAAACTTTGGGAAGAAACTACCTTCACTATGCAAGTGAGAACATGCCAACCCCTTCCTCCTACCTACTTACGCAGAAAGAAGGAATTTCATGACATATCTCCATTTAAATCTGGGAAAGGAGAGAGCAAAAATCTCTTCTCTGTCCTGCTGCTTTTCAAGGAGTTCCTTGCTGGAAACTCCTAGGAGCAAAGCAGGGAGCAGAAGAGCAAACAGGAGACGAGCAACATCGCAGCATCTAGGTAATGCACAGAGGCTGATGCTCAATGAAGCAACAAGAAGCCCAGGTCAGTGATGCTCCAGGTACCACTGCATCATCTGCTCAGAGCAACAGCAGTGGCACAAGAAGCAATTTGCAAAAAATACGATTTTTTTAATGCTTAATTAGCCACAAGAGGGAGCTACATACCCCCAGGAACGTCAGAAATTGAGCTAGAACATTAACATCTCCTAATTAAGATGCTTATATAATAGCTGCGTAGTTCAAAGAAAGTGCATTTCCCAGTTCACACTAAGCTAAGTACAATGAAAATTTTAATAAAAATCAGGCTTAATTTGCCATATGGTTTGGTGCTTCAGCAAGAACAAGGAAGAACGAACAGGAGGATTGTCTGACATCTCCTCTGGCAAGACTATTATTCTGAAAACTAAAGCACTGCTGTTCATATGAAACATTCGGAGGTTACAATGTATTACACTATGATGCTTTCCCAATTCAGGCTGAGGGGGAAAAAAAAAAAAAAGAGTCCAGATTTCTCCTAAAATGTTTAATTTCTGATGTCCTATTTACATTTCTAAAGAAGTAGCTTGGCTTCCACAGTTGTTTTTCACAAATTAGAGCCTCTACAGCAGTATATCTTCAAGGATTTTGAAGTCTCACTACACCGATGCTGCAGTCCAGACACTGGCCTAAGCATCCAGTGGCTTCACACTCTTTGGGTATGAATGTGCCCATCATGGACTTGTGGTGACCTTGGGGACATCTCAGAAACCAGCCTCCTAGGATAACTTCTGCCCCTTAGGACAGACTCAACCATCTATTTATTAAGAATACAGCTAGGACAGGCATCACAGACTCCACATGCTACATTTTCCCTTGCAGAGGCATCATGAATTAGAAGAGCCTTGACATTGCAAGGGAAGATACGATAGGAGGAGGAGATGCACATTGAGCACCCCACAATAGCACACACTTGTGAAGGCTATTCCCTCACCAGGACCCAAAGGAACACATAGACAAGGCCTTAGACACACAGCCTTAAACATCACTCACTCACTTCAATAGGAGCTAACAACACTTTCGCAAGTCAAAGGTGCATTGTAAGATAAATGTATCAAAAACTCAGAAGTGAGTCATACTGAGCTTGTCAGAAACACACAAACAGCACCCTAGACAAACCATTTCCCTTTTTTTTTCTTTTTTCTTTCTTCCCCCAAAATAATAATAAGAAAAAAGAATGATTCTGCTGTACTGAAAGACACTTTGCAGGAACCAGAATGCTGATTAGCTGACAGGATCTGCCTTCCGCCGAGCCGCGGCCAAGACATATTCACCAAGCGCTATTCTTGAGCTGACATTATGTATCCCTTCCAGCTAAACTCATTTCAGCATTGTGATCCCTCCGTTGTTATGGGTTTATCAAAAAGTAAATCAGAGTGTTCTCAAGAGAAGAAGAGAAATAGATAGAAGCACAAAAAAGCATGCTACCCTAGAGAGGGACTTCACGGCGATGCAAGCACAGCAAGTCTGCCCGTAACAGCATCAGCCCCGGCAGCCTCATTGCAAGAGACGAGCGTGCCCTGGTCACCTCCATAATCCTGACACGGTCTGAATTAGAGATGCATCATGTTCGCAACAATTTTTAATCAGAAAAATAGTTGCACCTTAGGTAGGTGTATTCAGTCCCAATCCCAGAGCAGTTTTTGGGGTGTTTGTAAGCCAGCTTTTCCAGGTACGCTCTATCTCCTAGGAAATCTTCAGGTATGAAATTTTGATTTTTTTCTTTTCTAAAATGCAACTCTGGTTAGAAAGCCGTTTCCACCATTTGCTTTTCGTATTGATCGTAACTATTGAGTATCTATTAGTATCATCTAGTTCATCACGCAAACCAAATTATCCTCTTTGGCAATGGGAGACTGGTTAAATTTGAGCTCAGATTTCCATTCCATCTGTAGTAGGACTTTCTCAAGAGCTCATTCAGCATACAGGTGATGTCTGAGAACGTCCAATTGACTTATTCAAATAGCTAATCGTAATAGATATTATAAAATGAAGACCCTCCATACAATCATTCACTTTGTGCAAGATAATTAGGTATAAAGCATATACATTTATTTGAAAATATATATTCTGAGCAACAATTAATTAAGCAAGAAGCTATATTATAACTAGCTTTCTTGATTGTCTAATTTGAAAAAGAATTGACTGCTATGCATCTGGCTAATGCCCATAAGTTCTCCAAAACATAAGTTAAAAGAGTATTTGCAAAGCTCAAGGAAACAACAGAATAAATTTTCAGCCATCCAAGATGCTTATGCAATAGAATAAAGCAGGCAATCTCACAACCCTAAATTTCAACATGGTTCCAGATCAGTTTTCAATCTCCACTCTCCTTATGAGGCAAGATTTTCAAAGCTATATAAATCTCTTAGAGTATATGCTTTAACTCCAAAGCTTAAACCAGCCAGTCAATCACTCAAATTCTAATATATGAGTTTGCAGCAGAGCAGCACTCCAGAAACCACAGGCACAAAATGAAAAGGGAAATTTGAGCCGCAATAGGAGTATACAACATTGCGACCGAACCTCCTTTGACAGCCAAGGTAAAAAGGAATGGTCAAAGCC